TTTCCTATTAATCATTTAAAAAGTAATATCTGTTGACTTTTATTTTCTGTGAACATGAGTTTCTTATATTACTCATTATTATAGTCCGTCACTCTCCAAATAAAGGTAATTGCTTCTTCCAGTTCCCCCAAAAATAGTAGCCCTTTAGAGATTTCCCGACTTATTAACGCAACACAAAAGGAACGTGTGCTTGCAGATGCTGTTCTGTTAAGTGCATCGAGTATAGTACTGTATGTCCTCAAAAGAGAAGGCTGCAGAGATAAGGTTTAAATAAATAAATCCCCAGTATTATGAACATTGTGTTACTGTATCAAGCTCAGATACTTGCAAAAGGCAATTCAATGTTGTTAGATCATTCATAATATACTTAATAATATCAATGAATATATAGTAAATAAATGGTGATATTATTGCAGTGGAATGATGTGGGAGGAAAATAAAGAATAAATAAATGATTATTGATAGTATTGCTATCCATTCATTTCGTTTTTGTGTTTTTACACACTTGAATTTCCCGTTCAGCACATTTTGGCTATTGTAAACGCCAATCAAAATGCGACAAATCCCTACCTATATTACTGCTTTTACACAAAACATATGTGGAGATAATTCGCCTTATATCAATCATTTATGTATTCTTTATTTTCCTCCCACAACATTGACCATTCAACAGCCGTTTTAGCTAGTACAGTAAATAACTTGAAATAATCTTAGCCTAACCACATAGGGAGTACTAGGAAATTGTGCCTATGGAAACTGTTGACAGCAGGTTACAGTCACTAATAAAATACATTGCTTTGGGACTTTGAGAAAACAATTCAAACACTACAAGTATTTTATTTATATTCTATACCGGAGTCTTTTTTCTGTTATGTGCTTCATTTGCACTGGTATGAGTTGTGGCTTTTGGACCCAGGAATACATATTGATTGGTTATTTCATTTAGACCTCTCATATCGGCAGTTTTTCCACAGGTGAAGATGTTTAAATGTGAGAGGGCTCAATAAAGGCATTCCTGTCTAATTGGTGATGGATTTAATCGAAGTCTCTTTTTGTTCCCGGACTGGCTGAGCTATTCTTATTCCTCGTTATCAATATGTATTGATTGTGAAACTACACTGAGATGTCTGGAAGATCATTTGACTTCAAAAGGAGTTTTGTTTTTGCTGGTGATGATTGTCAGGTTGGTTTTCAAGCCCCTCCCCCTGCTCCTGATTGGCTGTTAATTATCTATTTCTATTGATTCTGAAGGCACATTGGTATGAATGATGCCTTATTGGACTCGGGACATAAAGTGCTATTGATTGGTCATGTCTTTGAAGACCTCCCTTTTCCATCACTGTCTGTTTTTCATTTCCTACAAATACTAAACCCACAGCGTGGAATGATAAATATAAACAACACAGTGTTCAATAATTCGTGTATCATCTCATTAAAATGTAAATGATCAAAAGCTAACAGCTATGACCAAAGCGATATTTAAGAACGAATAGTTAAATGTATTATTTATGTACTTATATAGGAGTGACACAGTTATAAACCACTTGAGAACAATATATATATATATATATACTGTATATAATTGAACTCCCTAGCTAGTGCCACTGCAGCTGAATAGTAGCTGGAGAGATACAGCAAGAATACTAATATAATATAAAATCCAATAAATGTAGTAATTGGTAATGCAAAAAGCATTATTTACTGAACCATGAAATGCATTAAATGATTAAAGAAGACGAAAATACCAGTTTAGACTTAATTGGAAGAATAATTACAAAAATACATTAAAAAGTAATAACTTGTTACTTTAACTAATGACTTTAACACATCGCTGAGTAATGCATTACCGACAGCAGCCAAAACCTCAACGGGGAAGCCTTACAAATGAGTTTTAGGTCAGATAGAAATTGAGTAAACTGTCCGTAAATGTTTGTGTGAGAGTGAGCTACAAATATGAGGAAGGGTCTGTGGAGGTGATGACAGGCGGTTGTCGGCTGATTGGACGATCAGACAGTGGAATGCTCTGAATGACGGCAGAGGCCCCTCACAAGTCAAATCACCCACTCAAGTCCTTAGCCCCCACAACCCCCAGAGGAGCTCAGGATGTACTTCACACACGATTACGCTCCAAAACAAGGTGGCAACCAAGCATGCAACCTGTCAGGTTTGCCCACTCGCTCACCCAGAGCTGATAGAGAATAGCAGCAAAGTTGTTGTTTCTTTTTCAAAATGATTTTTTCATTTTTAGATCTAACTGGTTCAAGTCTTTCTTCAATAGATTAGATTCAACCTTATTGTCAATTGACAGAGTGCAAGTATTAGGACAACGCAATGCATCTAACCAAAAGTGTAAAACAAGTATTAAAGGGCAGAGTTATTCATAGTATAATATAAATATAGACTGTACATATGACAGTATTTACACTATGAAAAGTATGAGGCGGTATGAAAATGACAAACAGAAATTGAATACACTATAGATCAGGTATATATAAGAGAGTATAATACACACACAATACAGAATAAATATACTATAGAACATTTGTTGTTTACATTTTTCCTATTCCCATATTAAGGGATGGCAAGATTTCCTATTTATATACATCAAAATAAAAGTAGCACTTGTGGAGTTGCTGGTGGGTGAGGGTATGTTTAGTGGGGCTAAGATCTTTGAAGTCCTGCTAATGTGCTGTAATGAGCCAGAGATGAGAGGGGGGGTAATTACAGACACAGAATAATCCTGCAGAGTTTCATGTGGGCTCAAAGAGCCTGAACCCCGCTGAACACACTCTGAGAGTTCGTAAATATATCCACAAAGATAAATACTAGCTCATCTTATTCTACTTTACATGTTTTTAGTTAACTTTTTACATATTGACTTGCACATTGGTCACTTGCAACATTCTCTTGCGCTATTTTATTTATATTCTCTTTCTTTTTGCACCATTTTGATTGTTGTGTGTCCTATATATATGCATGTTGCATTGTTGGAGGAGCCTGGGACTTATGTTTTCATTGCCATAACTACATGTAGCGACTGTGCATATGAAAAAAAGGATTCGATTACAATTACTGTTGGGAAAATACTGAATGTTCCTTCTATATCCGAGTAGCACATGATAACAGAGGCCCTACGTAGCTGTATACGTAGCCGCCGGATGTATGACTACATGGATGACGCTCATGAGACACTGTGTTGAAGTTATGATAGCTATCTTCCTAAGATTGGCATGATGACACAGCCCCTAGAGAGATAGGCATAATGACACAGCCCCTAGAGAGATAGGCATAATGACACAGCCCCTAGAGAGATAGGCATATGACTGTCATGTTTATTGCTTACGCAGGCCTTAGCTAATCTTAACTAACCATAAGTGGCTCTTTTTGGACCCGGTGAGGTGGTTTTAAGTATCTTTGTAATTACATTTTTTTATCATTTCATATTCCAGCTATTCCTCAAAAAACATGTTTTCGATATCATGCCATTCACATTTTAAATGTACATTTTAAGAAATTGTAGTTTTTGTATTACTACCCCAAGCTTCCATAAGTGGGTCAAAAATGACCCGCATGCATTTTCTATGGAATCCTCTGGGAACCTTTGATTCTTATCACCTGTTGCTGTCAGGAATACATTCACTGTAGACCACACAGACTACATCACACGTGACACCTCTCAGGAAGATTATTTTACACAGCAAGATCTGATACCTGTCAGTATAATAATAATAATAATAATAATAATAATAATAATAATAATAATAATAATAATAATAATAATAATAATAATAATAATAATAATAATAATAATAATAATACATTATATTTGTATAGGGCTTTTCAAGGACTCAAAATCGCTTTACAATATAAGGGAAGGTTAGGGTGGGGGGTATAGGACTATCAAACTTGATCAACCGGCATGGATTGATGGGGGGGGGGGGGGCTATTAGTAGACAAGAGGAGAAGAGATGAGTTTTGAAAAGGGACTGGAATACTGTGAGGGTCTCAGAATAGCGGAGAACAAAAATGGCATAAAAACATATATTATTCTAATACGGGTCCTTTTAGACCCACTTATGGAAGAGTGTAGGGTCCAGTCACTCGTGCATGTCAGAATACTGCTTTGAACCAGTATTCTTCCATCTTGTGGACTGTAACACCCTCTCTTGTATATAAGCATATCAAGGACTCTGAAAACTATTTGTCCCATGCAACCTCTGTGTGTGATGACTACTTCCATTCTTGCAAGGATAATAAATACATGTATCCTGATATTGAAGACCAAGCCGGTGACGATTGATATGTTTCTAACAATTACATTAAAACATGTTTTATCAGATAACTGTTACATTATTAAAAAATGAGATTACTAGCAGGATTTCAGTGTTACAATACATTTTGAAATACAGATCAGGTGGACTTTGTGAATTATTTTTCTTTAATAATGTTTACTTTAATTCTTCTTTATTTTAAAAGACATTTATTTTGTAAGGCAGTAGGTGGACACTTGTTTGTTAAACAATCATACAGTCTATGCTTTTGATTCATATATTTAGCTTAAACAGCCTTTATGAACTATTACTGTTACTACATTTTCTATATGAAATACCTTGTTTTCTTCTTTTCTAAGCTAACATTGTTACATACACTTAAGTAAAAAACATCTTATTGTAATTGTGTTTCTCTTGTTTTTATTTGCATTGCATTTGATATTTAGGTTCTCCAAAAGTAACGAAAAGTGCATTTATTTTAGGTTTTGATAATCAGATTTCGTTACTGATTGCATTTTTGACATGTAACTAGTTATTTTAACGGATTACCTTTTAAAGTAACAACCCTGTGCATATGACCATAACACCTTTGAATCTACTAATTCAGCTCCCACCACCTGCAGACAGGTAAAGGTCTCTGTGTTCCCTACATGGATGGCAGAGAATGAGCTGAGCCTTCAATATCAAAGCTGACTCCACTCTAACATCCAACCTCTGTCCTCCATCTAGAGAAATTCCTGGGTCATCAGATCCACAGCTATGCCCAGCTCATCTCCATCACCTTCACCTCCGAGACCCCCGAGCTGCTGCCGGACCACGTCACCTTGCTGCTGCGCGGCTCCGGAGTCACCCTCACTGCTGACCTTTCACCCCAAACAGTGCTTGACCCTAACCCCCGCCTCACATTGCAGCAGACCTTCACTGTCAGGTACAAGGGTGCAGGATTGTTTGTCAGTCTATGTATATCAGGGGGTCCATTTTTTCACTGAGGGCCACATACAAAAATATATATGAAGGGCTTGGCCACTCACTAGAGGTTAGGTATGTTGCCTCATATGTAAGGTTAAGTTATAATTTAGCACAATCAATCAAATGTAGATAAATTATTCTTGATAATTGAATATGCTTAAAGAAAAAAAACAGCCTACATCACAGCCTTCCATTAACAGGGTTTAATTATTTTCATTTTGTTACAAAAAGGTTTGGGAACTCATCCCTTAAAACAATAGCGTCAGATTGCTTCTCAACTCCCTGCACAGTCATGTATAAAGGAAATAGGAAGGGTAGATATCAAGCTTGTTATGCAAATAAGTTATTGGGCTTTTTTTTGTTTTATCAACTTAAAGGGGACCTGTCATGCAAAATGCACTTTTGTACGTCTTTTATACATGAATATGTGTCCCCGGTGTTCCAGGGAACTCACCAAGTGTCAGAAAACACAACCCTCTCTATTTTCCTCCATACCCAAATCTCTAAAAACGGGGGCTGCAACGGATCTGATAAAACTGATCCAGATTTGAACATTTCTCTGACGTCAGGACAGAGGAGCTGACCTATCAGGGGAATGAGAGGTTGCCGTGGCATGGTAACAGCATGGTAACAGCATGGTAACACGACGCTCGTAACTCGGCCCCCTCCTTTGCAGGGGGGCGTGGTCAGCTGCAGCGCATGCAAAGACAGGGTGGAGGAGAGCAAAATAGAGCGAAATGAGGCATGGCTAAAATGCATGATCTGTTTGGTATTTTGAAAAAGAAAACGTATAAATATATCTTATATAGGTATGGCCCTACAATATATTATTCAAATATAGCATGATATGTCCACTTTAAATTGTAATAGAAAATGTGTCTTAACACATGACTACAGTGTCATATATGTTACATAATATTTAATAAGAACAATATAAGTAAAGCGCAAGTTTCAGGTGTGGGCCATATTCCATTTTACTTTTAGAATTAGCTGAGGGCCAATAAAAAATGGACCCAGGGCCACAGTTGGCCCCCAGGCCGTAGTTTGGACACCCCTGATGTATGCTTCCTTTTCGCACTGTTGAGCTTGAGTCTCTCTGGCAAGAATTAGCCTGAATATGTGCATAAGAAAGGATGTTTGTTTTTCTCTGCATCTATTCATCTCCCTGATGCCTGACTTACAATAAATATAGAGTCTGCTGAGGACAGAGTATCCAGGACAGCCATGTTCAGACTGAAGCTCACCTACATTGAGTGTGCTGTCAGGGTCCCAGCAGAACGTTGAGTTATAAATGTAGTGATGAGCCCACTCCCCCTTTCACCGGCTATCATGTAGAGCAGCGGCATTACACTTCCATTTGTATATTTTATACATTTAGCAGATGGTCTCATCCACAGCAACTTGAAGTGTGTGCTAAAACTCATCAGAAGTACACAAAAAGTGATAGTCCGGAGCACCAACAGTCACACTTAAATTATTGAGTCACTAAAATAATTATGGAATAGAGGTGAAGTAAGGACGACAAATACAAAATGGACAGACAGTATAGTGTACATGGACAAAGCGGTGGTTAGGGCAGCAACTTACTAGTATTATTATTATGTTTTGATTATGTTATCATTTGTTGTTAAAATATTTCAGGAAAAACTGAAACATTTCAAGCCCTGTTTCTCTAAATCCAAGCAGATTTGTTTTGTGTTTTGTTTTATCAGTTCATATTTTAATATGATATGATATAATATAAAGAAGAGCAGTACATGTCTATTTCAGAGGCTGCAATCAGTATTCTCTGCTCTTCTTACAGGAAAAACTACTAAACCATTCATCTTTTTTGAAAAAACTGAGGATTATATTTCCGTTGATAGACGTATCGATTAATTTACATATGGATAAGTGAACGCTTTGAATCTGCTGGTGCTAGTAATAATGTAGAAGGATCACCAAATCCTCCAGGGCTTACCCCTGGTGACCGTGAATGTTTGTACCAAACGTCATGGCTTTCTTAGATATGTTAGATCCGATATGTATTCCCAGCCATAGTGCTAACACGGCTGAAAACAGGTAAATATGAGAAAGAAGGGATTAGTTCAGAAAGCTTAACCAATATAGTAAGTGAAAACACTTTTATATGAGGTACATCTTTAAAAGATTAAGCTTTCAAAGATATTGTCACTCCAGGAGGCAGAGGAGGGGGGTCGGGGTAGAAAGAAGAGAGGGTTGCTGCATGGAATGAGAGCTGAGTGGATTACAGCAGCACCATGCAGAGCTCTAGATGGAGTGCAGGGTGGGTTCATGGCCCGGAGGCTCAGGATGTGGGCAGCGGTTCTTTTGCAGCCTGCTATGCCAACACCAGGGCTTCAAATTACAAACAAGCATCAACACACAGCCAGTGGATGAACTGTAACATCGATCTCAATGAGGAGAAGTGAAGAGGAGAGGAGAAATATGATGTATTAGACTGATTTAAGGTGGGGTTTAATCGTGTGGCAGTTTAACTTACATACATATGAGGAGGATACAAAAGTAAAGGTATCATACACTTGAAATATACACACTTAATATGGCCAAACATGTGAAAAATGTTATGGAGAAAGCAAATATGTATAGTAAATATGCAATATGAAAGTCTGCCTCTCAAGATAGAGATTAATGTAACCTTTACAAATGAATATTGTTATAGTATATCATCGGTACTACTCTTTTTCTTTCTTTTCCTGTTCTGCTACTGTTTTATTACTTTAAGACCTGAACTATATATTTCTATTGCAATTTAAAGCTTTCCAGTTATTTTCCCATAACATTTGAGGTGTTTGACCAAAAACGATGTCATTGGACGACTCTATACACACATAACTGTGCAGTTACATAACAGTTCATCGTCTCATTATTAGGAAAAGTGGTGGTCTGTTGTCAGGATGCATTCCTAAAGAGAAATAAAGTGAGTAGATGTATAACACGGGTAGAAGCAGCCCACGTGCTAGAATTTGAATGATGGATTTTCTTACTTAATGGCAAAGTTAAGTTTAAATGAAATTAATTCTCCATATTTTTCCACCATCAATGGATGAGTTAAAGATCTCTGACCTACCTCAACACTTTGCTTTTAACAGTCACAGTTTTAAATATAATTAGTGTCACTTCCTCTGGTATAATGCATACTGCCTCCCACACCTATACGTGCCTATTTTCTCTAAAAGCAATCAGATCCTATTCAAACAACTGCAGCAGCATATAGAGCAAAATATACATTGAAATCCAACCTAACAGAGCATTTCCATATGAATGCTTGATTAGTTCAATAGTACATTGTGACAAGGTTTACCAAATATTGCTATTTAATATAATAAGAGGGCAACAGCACCTCTTTAAATCCTGCAGCAATCAGACGTTAGATGTTGTAACAAAGATGGCAGCAATCAGAATCAAGCTGCGACACAGTTCCTGTCACAGAGCGGATGCTGTTTGCTTTACTCGTCGATGGCAGTCTGCTGTCTTGTTTTCTCCTTGTCTACTGTTAGATCATATTAAGTAGTGTGTGTCAGTTTGTTTGTGTTGTTAGACAGTTGATTAGCATCTGTATTTTGAAACTGAGACTAAATCAAATTTGAGTTGTCTTGTGCCAGCCCGTATTTCCTCTTTACTGCAGCATGACCCTGGGATTATTTATGTCCCTTTCTGAAGAAGCTGAGGCAGGCTTTACTTTATTTACTTCCGTGCAAGCTAACCCAATATACACTTACAGTATGTTAAAGGATAGGTTTCCAACCATTACAGCCACCAAAAAGTATTTCAATATACATATTGGCATGTGAGTGCTATTATAAAAAGATAAAGAATCAATAATTATGTAGACTTATCGATTATTCAATCACCAGAAAGATATGAATTATCTAATTTGATACTCAATTAATCGTTTAAGTACTTCCTTCCGGCGAAAAAGTCAAACCTCTCAATTATTGAGATATTTGGTTTTTATTAGTTTAAAATGATATTAAAAATAATATCTCTTGTTCTTAAACTGACAAACAGTACGTTTGAAGGCATCCCCTTGCAATTTAATTAAACTTGGATTAACATTTTTCACAATTTTCCATCATTTAATCAACCAAAGATTTATCGATTGATCTAGAAATGAATCTACAGATAAATCATTAAGGAAATTGTCACCTTACTCGAAAACATGTAAACCTTTCCTGGCTATTATCTTTGGCTCGGTTCTATTAAATATTCACAGCATCTGCGTCACCAATTGCCCAGAGAGGCAGATTGTGCTAGAACATGTAGTTCCCTCCTAAAGGGGAACGAGCCCACTCTCCTCATCAGTTGTTGGACAGACCTGTCCAATTGGTTGTTGATATTGACTCGACTATATGTAGTACTGCTCCACAACCACTCTCTGCTTGCAGTCTGCTGGCTCTTTCATCTCACATTACACTTCGCTTGGTTGCAACAATCTGCTCTCAGCCCAGACCCATGCTGGTCTTTCCCTCCTCAGCCTTCACAGTGAAGCGGTCAGAGTCAGGAGAGACTGGAGAGCTGAGGTCTGGTGTAACGGCCTGTGGAGAGCAGGAGTGTAATCAGTCATATTGTTGTGGAGAGATCCAGTGGTGTAACTAAGTACATTTACTAGAGTACCGTACTTAAGTACAATTTTGAAGTACTACATTTGTGCTACTTTGTACTTCTACTCCACTACATTTCAGAGGTAAATGGTGTACTTTTACTCCACTACATTTATTTAATATATTTAGTTACTTTGCAGATTTGGATTAATGATGTGAAATATAAAACAACCCTTAGAAGTTCCTTTACTGGAGTAAATTCACAAGCTACCCTGCAGTATACAAAGTCATTCAAACTAGCTGCACCTTTACCAGCTTTGAGAACACTTTAATGATCAATCATTATAAAACATATCATATATATTATTCTGAAATGGACCAATGTGTATACTGAGTA